ACCCTATTCATGCTCAGTTTGTGGTCAAAGATTCCCCCAGAAAGGGACACTTAAACATACACGCAAGAACACACACTGGTGAGAAACCTTTTTCCTGCCTAGTTTGTGGCCAAAGTTTCTCTGAGAAGGGAACCTTAAAAATACACACAAGAACACTTACTGGCGAGAAACCCTACTCGTGCTCAGTTTGTGGTAAAAGATTCCCCCAGAAGAGAACCTTAAAAACACACACCAGAACACACACTGGTTAACAACCTTTTGCCTGTTCAGATTGTGGCCAAAGATTCTCATAAGGGAAGCCTAATTAACCACACAAGAACCCACACTGGCGAGAAACCTTTTTCCTGCTCAGTTTGTGGCCAAAAATTCTCTGAAAAGAGAACCTTAAAAATACACACCAGAACACTCACTGTTGAGAAATCTTTTGCCTGTTCAGATTGTGGCTTAAGATTCTCTCAGAAGGGAAACTTAAAAAAATCACACAAGAACCCACACTGGTTAGAAACCTTTTGCCTGTTCAGATTGTGGCAAAAGATTCCATCAGAAGACACACCTTAGAGAGGACACACAGGAACCCAGAATGGTGAGAAACATTTTTCCGGCTCAGATTGTGACCATATATTCTCGTGGGAGTCTCAGATGAAGAATCACAAGTGTGATGACGAGATGAACAGTTGTCCATGAAATTTTCCGCTCCCATCTAAATTGTATTTCATCGACCTTATTATTTAGATGCTGCCGTTTTCTTTTCCTTGAGTGCATTGAAAAGTGTTGTTTTTTTTTTGGTTGTAAACCACCACTATGGATGAAAATAATCAAAGAAAGAAACATCCACCACTAATATGTGATGCTGGTCATGTCACATTTTCAGTTTTCATCTGAACTAATCTAGCTCTCTGAGTAACTTTCATTGTAATTATAAACCAGAATTCCATGGGTGGTGTTGTCTTCTTGTGTCTTTAGATATCAGCAAAGATGCTTGTCCTGAGCGGCTGGATGCAGAGCCCTTTCACATTAAAGAGGAAGAGGAGAACAAAGAGGAAGAACAGCAGGTCCTGTGCTTTAAAAGAGAGGAGGAGCCAAATTACCCTTGCACGAAACATGGTGATAACACAACATCAAATGGTGATGATGATGAGGATGAAGAGTTGCAAGATGTTTACTTGTCAGAGTGCTTTGAAAATGCATGTGAGAATCCACACTGGTGAGAAGCCTTTTGCCTGCTTAGTTTGTGGCCAAAGATTCTCTCAGAAGGGAACCTTAAAAAAGCACGGAAGAATACACACTGGTGAGAAACCTTTTGCCTGCTTAGTTTGTGGCCAAAGATTCTTTGACCAGGGAACCTTAAAAAGACACACCAGAACACACACTGGTGAGAAACCTTTTTCCTGCTTAGTTTGTAGCCAAAGATTCTCTGAGAAGGGAAACTTAAAAAAGCACGGAAGAATACACACTGGTGAGAAACCTTTTGCCTGCTTAGTTTGTGGCCAAAGATTCTTTGACCAGGGAACCTTAAAAAGACACACCAGAACACACACTGGTGAGAAACCCTTTTTCTGCTTGGTTTGTGGCCAAAGATTCTCCCAAAAACAACATTTACATGCTCACAAAAGAACCCACACTTGTGAGAAACCTTTTGCCTGTTCATATTGTGGCGAAAGACTCTCTTTTAAGCGAAGCCGAAATAACCACACAAGAACCCACACTGGTGAGAAACCTTTTGCCTGTTCAGTTTGTGGCCGAAAATTCTCTGACAAGAGAATCTTAAAAAGACACACCAGAACACACACTGGTGAGAAACCTTTTGCCGCCTGTTCAGATTGTAGCCAAAGATTCTCTCAGAAGGGACACTAAAAAAAAAAAAAAAAATCACAAAAACTCACACTGATGAGAAACCTTTTGCCTGTTCATATTGTGGCGAAAGACTCTCTTTTAAGCGAAGCCGAAATAACCACACAAGAACCCACACTGGTGAGAAACCTATTTTCTGCTCAGTTTGTGGCCGAAAATCCTCTGACAAGAGAACCTTAAAAAACACACCACTGGTGAGAAATCTTTTGCCTGTTCAGATTGTAGCCAAAGATTCTCTCAGAAGGGACACTAAAAAAAAAAAAAAAAATCACAAAAACTCACACTGATGAGAAACCTTTTGCCTGTTCATATTGTGGCGAAAGACTCTCTTTTAAGCGAAGCCGAAATAACCACACAAGAACCCACACTGGTGAGAAACCTATTTTCTGCTCAGTTTGTGGCCAAAAATCCTCTGACAAGAGAACCTTAAAAACACACCAGATCACACACTGGTGAGAAATCTTTTGCCTGTTCAGATTGTGGCAAAAGATTCCTTCAGAAGACGCAACGAAGAGGACACACAGGAACCCACACTGGTGAGAAACATTTTTCCTGCTCAGTTTCTGGCCAAAGATTCTCGTGGAAGTCTCAGATTAAGAATCACAAGTGTGATGACAAGATGAACACTTTTCAATGAAATTTTCTGCTCCCATCTAATCAGGCTTCATCAGGCAAATTGCATTTCATCTACCTTCTTATTTTGATGCTGGTTTTCTTTTCCTTGAGTGCATTGAAAAGTGTTTTTTATATTTATTTTTGGTTGTAATGAAGTAGAAATTTTGCATTGTTAATAATGTGATAATACTATTGCATTCTTCATTTTATATATTTATATATACCGTATTTTCACGACCATTCGGCGCACCGTATTGTTGGGCGCAGTGTCACTAACGTGTGCTATTTTGGTGTTTTACACATAGACAAAACGCACTGTATTATTGCAGGGTGCAGTTTTACAGTGGTAAAACATACGCCAGCTTAAACATACGGCATGCGTGCACGCACTCTAAAAACACGTTATCTTGAAGCATACGGTAGCATGCTAAGACATACAGATACACGCTAAAAACACGTTTCCTGGAAGTCCCACAGGATCTTCGCCTGGTCATTCTCGACCAAGTCTCATGGAAAGTTTGACATATATTTAGGACCGCCAACCCTAGGCCAAGGCCAAGGACTTGACTCCGAGGCCAAGGCCAAGGATTTGGAAAATTTTCCGAGGCAAGGCCAAGGACAAGGACTTGAGAAATTTTCCGAGGCCAAGGACCAAGGACTTGCCTCCGAGGCCAAGGCCAAGGACCAAGGACTGATTTTGAAGCTGAGGCCTAGCCGAGGACATGTATAAAACAATGCTATCATACCACTTGGCAGGTCTTCATGATTTGCAACACCCCTCCATCATAACCCCTTGCACTCCCTAATGCTTGAATGAAGTGTTTTTATTTAAAGAGTAGAACAGTCAGCGTACGTGTTATTGATACTGAGAAAAACAAAAATAAAAGCATATGATATACATTTATGAATTTATGTTTTAGTGCAGTAGTTTCTTAGTATGAAGTGAAGCAACACTCAACAGGGATGACATGGCACGGAAGACAAGTTGAGAAATGACTTTGCATAGAAGTCAAGCACTGGGTGCAGGAAAAGCGGTAATCTCTGCAGTGATAATTTTACAGTCCCAGGGACTCGCTGATCAGAAAAGTATGAGTCCCATTATGCATTGAGTCCCAAATTTCAAATTCTGAAACGGTCTACTTATTCAATTGCATATGATATTAACACAAACAACAACACATACATAGCTGCAAAAATTTAAATAATTCAGTCGCAGGCCTGAGGATTTCGGAAATTCATGGTAACCGTTTTTCGGTTCCGTCGGATTTCCCAATGGGAAACCACGGTAACTAATGTTGGGTTCCGTAAACGTACATCATGGGAACCCATTTTTCTATTTTGACTGATATTCATAATCAGGAATTCTGACACCCAAAAGTACAATGTTTCAAGGGTAAATGTTTGAAAACTAGGCATTAAAAATGAACATTAAATCAGCAGCTGTGTACTCCAGGTTTATTCCAAAAAATAAATGAATCAAAAACTGGTGTACTCATGTGGCACCATCAGAGTATTTTTTCCAATCTTACACTGCAAAAATTAATTTATTGGTAATCATTAATACAGGTCAGTATTGATGTGGCTTGACATCCTCTTCCCAAGACGATGCATGTGTAATCTTCTATCAATTTGACGAAAGAATTTAACACACGTCATCATGAGTTCTACCAACAGTTGACATTAGCATTACTACACCTTGTGACTCATGTTTTATTCATAAAATTGCCGTGCTACAACCAGGAAATTATAGAATAACCAATACTGTTTCATATTTTTCATAACGATAAGCCTACAAATCTAATGACCAACTTGCCTCGTAATCGTGCCTCTCGTCGTATCTTGCTCTCGTGTTCTGTGCTTACATCCCAGGTGAGTTTAGTGACACGCCCTTTGGAAGATTCTTCTGAAAAATCAGACTGGCATTCCCATTTCTTAAATGTAGTAATTAGTAGACCTTTGTGAGTTTTTATCGCCGCCATCTCAAACTTTCATCCGCGTGATTTCTGTTTGCGGGCCAAAATAGCAACCCGCATGCGCACATAACGTTATCTAAGACACTCACACACCACACACGGTGCAGCTCCACTTGCGGTCATACGGCAGTTTCTGCAGCGGAGCAAAACGACAGAAAACAAATGAGCTGTCGTGTTGGTTCCTTTTAAAACTTTTACACAACTCAAGCAACTACTGTCCAGGCATGTCCTTCTGCTCAGTCTCCGTGCCTTCAGCTCGAGAGTGACCGCCCCCAAAAACGTAAATCAATGATGACTTCAGTGACACTCAGAAAAGCAAACATGTAATGTGCCAAAAATAAACAAACACAAAATAAATTCTGTGGGATGCGGGGGGTTGTGAACACACAATAAAGGAACAAACAACTCCGAGACAGTCCAGTCTCCTAAAAAAGGAAAGATGACATTTGGGGACTACCCCCGCCCCCTTCTAGTTGAGATGGTATAACCCAAGAGGTGCTTGCTCCTGTTACCAGCCAAGTCTTGTGTCGTTATTAAACAAACACATGACGGAAGTCCGACAGAGCACGAAAGCAACGCATTCTCGCCGTACGTAATCAACTCTTCTCGAGCATTTGCTCTGGAGCAAGTTGGAGAGTTCACACGTGCAAATTTACATCGGTGTTGCTCCGCACACAAGCATTTGCTCTGGAGCAAATTTTTAAACCACCTCCCTGAGGTCGATCAAATTTGCTCCGGTGTAAGTTGTTTTCCAGGGCTACCCCGGAGCAAATTTGCACGTGTGACCGCTCCACCGGCGCAGCGCCAGCGTAGCACCGGAGCAAATGTTGCCGTGTGAACACCCCTTCGGTTGATGAGCCTCTGGTGAATAAAGAGCAGGTATTCTGTTGAGTTCGATGTATGCCACTGATGTGATTGTTACTTGTTTGGAACTATTTTGTGTGGAAGGTTACCGTGTTCCGTGTCCATATAACTAATGGGGGTGGAGCTTCTCTGTGTTCGTCTGACAGAGACGATGCTCTGAGGCACGTCGAAAGTTCAGCGGTGCAGTGGTAGCGACCTAGCGAACACACTGAAAATAAAACGTCTCCAGTGTTGTCATCGAACCAAGTGTTGTCATCCGAAATGATGTCTACACAAAACCTGAAAGAGACTTGCATGCAAGAAGGACCAACAGAATCAACACAGCCTGACTGCTGTGTTCAAAGCAAACTTGAGAAAAACGAAGTATGCAACCATGGCTTAAATCCACTTTAGGCTGAGTACTAGTTTACCTTAGATATACACTATATAATGTTATATTGCTGTGTTTTGATTCCATAAAAAGAGCTGTTAAAGCAGCTGTTGTGTGACAAAATATTTTTTTCACTGTTGTTGATGGACAGTAATATTGTGTGAGAGATTGTCATGTTCATGTAAAATTGAAAATTGAAATTGTTATTTCAGTAAATATTTGCATTTTGCACATAGAAAACTGATTCATGATTCCATGTTGATGAACGCATTAAAATGGGGAAAAATAGGACAAAAAAAATCAAAGGAAATTCAAAAACAATAAAAAAATGCGTGAGTAATCACGATTAATTTTTAGTTCATTTGAGTTAATTATGAGAGTTGCGTTTTTAATTAGATTAAATATTTTTATCGTTTGACAACTCTAGCATATATTTGGCTCTGAGTTGTGGTTTTTGAAATGTAATTTGTTTTAACTCATTTTCAGAGGTTTGGTTGGTTGATTTCATTCTTCGTGTTTTGTTTCCTATTTTTTTTTTTTTTTGTATAAACTGTCCCGTCCTTGACTGTGCAGCACCCCACATGTTGCGATACGTGTTTAATCGTCTTTTATTGGATGCGATCCTGAATAAAATGGACATTTTCCATTTTGTCATGAAATGTGTGATGGAGCCGTATGAATTGTTGTTTGATACTGTGTGTTACTTGCTGGCGAATAAAGTTTTCTTTGCTCAAAATGCTTGGATCAGCCATGTCTTCTTCAATATCCCTACCTCAATATCGGAGAGATTCATGATTGGTGAGGCACTATTTTCCTTGAGTGAGATATAAAAATAGGAGCCCAAAAACAGAAGGTTGCCTGTATTTAAATGTTGACCATGATTGTAACATGTCTC